TTTTTTGGGTTCATTGAGAACATGGTTGTTGTTCAATAATAAAATTATTCCTCAAAAATACAACTTGCCTAATAATTCTGCACTCCCTGTAGTAGCTCTGTAACAATATGACATCAGGTTTTTGCTGGATTCAGCTCAACATGTCAGTTCTGGGTAAATATTGAGATCAGCACGTCACAGCATTAAAACAACAAAAATAAACAAACCGAACAGTTGCAGTTCGAGACTGAATGCACCAAAATGTAGTTAATTTGTTAACTATTAGTCATAAAGTTTAAAAGACGTGCTTCATTTCTACTAAACTTCACTTGCATTATTGCAGCTCATGAGAAGAGGCTTACAGTTATGATATAGTGACAAGATATAAAGATTTCTGTGAACATCAGATGTATGAATAGCTCTACAGGCCACAGAATAAACAATACAATTTGATTTTGGGGTGGGTCTGTTATGGTTTCCCATATTATTGTTCATTTTGTTGTGATAGTAGGCTCATACTAAGGGACAGATTTTCCCGAGGAGGCTTGAAACGCTGTTTCTAACTTTTTTTGGGGTGCTCCTGGATCTGTATGATGTTATAAAGAGAGGATTTTAATATGGAAGCCCCTCCCACCTGCTTTTCAGCTCTTCTGTTTGTAAAGGACAGCCAATCAGAAGACCTGGCTTAAAGAGCCCCAAGCTAAAAAGTTTGCTAAGGGGCCAGTCCACAGCGTGGCTGGCAAGAAAGGGTAAAGTATAAGATAAATCATGGTTATTTTAAACCGTAATGAATCCACTTTAGGTTGAAAGTTTAAATTGACCAGCAGTATAATGAATGGCTGTGATGGTTTCCCAGGCAAAAACATGTGCTTACATGATACTCTAAACTTAATAGCATGGCATATTGTTGCCATGCTGTCAAATATACAGATATAACTGCAGCTACTGTCCCCAATGAGCCACAGACGCAGTTTGAGGAACCTGATTTTTTCTTGTCCAGACAGATTAGGTTTTTCTGTTCCAAAATCAACAGAAGCAACAATTAATGCTAATGCACCTAACAGCTGTGACAAATTATACAAAAAAAAGAGTGAAAAACATCGTGGAAATGACACTATCCTCTACTAAAAATCAGTGTTATAATGATATTTGAAGATAAAGCAAACCCACTGAAGGTCAGTAAAGGATAATACTGAATTATTTCCAGCCGCAGGATGTGTAGTGGTTTAATAATGACAGAGATTGAATTATTATCCAACTTTGATATGCAGATGTTGTTAATAATTCAGAAACACTGACCCAAATTCCCATAGGGAAAAATGTCCTTGTTACTGTCTTTGACTGGATGCAAATACGTGTAAGAAGTATAGATGACTCATGAGTTCACACATTGTGGACATGTTTAATTAGGATTTAATTAGACTGAGTTTATTAGGCTTTAATTGCATCCTAATGAAGCAATAACAGCGACACATGTACACACAAAGAGACAAAACAGGCAAATTAACATACTGCACGTGTACACATTGGTATTGTTTCTGCTTGTTAACATGACGGGTTGAACTGCAGCCTGTATGCAGAGACTTACACACACATACAAACACACTGCTGCCATCTGTTGACGTGCAGGACTCGTCAAAGCGACCGTGCTGTGACATGGATGAAGTTAAAAACTGCTGAATGAGGCAGTGTCATTTGTTCTGGGCTGAAAGACGTTAATTAGCTTCTTCAGTTAGTGCTGTGCAATGCACATTTGTTTTGTCATCGCCGTCCAAGACTTTGAGTTATAGATTGTTAGTTTTCAGCATCTTTGTGTGTTACAGTAGGTCGGGACATGAAAACAGGGCGGCGTTACCCTGATGACTCAAGTTGTTTTGGTTATTTTTAAACTTTTGAGGATCACAGATGGTGCTATGAAATGTAATATATTGAACACTTTTTCTCATTGAGTCGTTAGCCCTGCATATTGTACATTCGGAGCATTTATTAACTCTGATTGGATTTGTTGAAATATTCATCCGCTCATTTCCCACAGTGGCGCAGATCTGCTGGCAGTCAACTCCGATGGGAACATGCCCTACGACCTGTGTGAAGATGATCCCACGCTGGACATCATTGAGACGGCCATGGCCAACAGAGGTAGAGAACAAATGCTTAAAGGGGAAGTTACTGACAGGAAGGTTAGACAGATGATAAAATCTTTTAGTAAGTTTAGAATCAGATTCAGCCTGTCTGCAGACTGTCAGACTGATAATTGAGAGAAGATTACATAGTTATGCGCAGGAGTAATGATGTTACACAAAGTACGTTTATGTTGGGATTATTCCAATTAAATGGAACTTTAACTTTACCAGCACAGGTGAGTTTTTTTTGTAAAACATTTCCTTTTTCTTTTTAGACTCCCAGTGAACAAGATATTTCCAGGAAAAACAACATTCACTTAGTTCAACCCGTTCATCTCCTTCCCTGGTTACATCTGTTCATTCCTAGTCGACAACTGTGTATTTTGCCAAAACGCCAGGAGACTTACCAGAAGAGGCTAGCTTATTGAAAACACAGCCTACCGCTACCTTACTTTAAAGCTTATGTTAGAAAAGTTAAAAGTTGTATCCAGTCTAAAAATCATTGTCTGGACAGCAAAGTTCATGTATTGCTGTATAGATCTGCTGTTTTAGTCTGAATAAAACTGTGACAGGTTATGTGTGGACTTTAAAGCAGGCAGACACAGTTTAATCAGCTTCCTTGTACTTTAACACATGGACTGTGTTGTTACTTTTTGTTACTTTTTTAAGTGTGACTGCTATAAAAAGCAGGCGTTTAAGAGCCCAGGTCTAGCAAAAATTAGAGATGAGAAGGAAGGAAGATGCAAATCTTATTTTAACCTTTGTGGCTTGCAGCTTTTGGCAGTCTTAACGGTCTACTTGTCATAAGAACAGATTGCTGAAGAAGATGGCATCGGAGTTGTGACCTGATATCACACGTAGTGTCAGGCACAGTTTTATGATTGACACTGTGAGGAGCTGAAAGTATTCACAGTTCTCTCTCTCTGTGCCAGCGGGGTGCAGATTAGGATACTGTATATTCATGCTGTGTCACTGTAAACAGCTGCAGACGCCACAGTTTGTCTCTGCGACATGAGTGAAAGAGAGTTCAAGGAGATCAGCGCTGACATAACTGCACATCAGTGATGAAGGAGGGGGAAACTCGTGCTGTTTGCATTTTTGTCTGTTTGTGCGGTGTGAAGAAAGACGCGTACAAAAGCTGTCGAAGCAACAGACAAATTTATTTACACTGGAGTAAAATCAAGCCTCTTAACACGAGCTGCTCTCAGTGTTTTGTTGTTGTTTACTGGTAAATGGTTACATCCTCAAGCTGGCATGTGTTCTCACGGCTGGGAACAAAACAACAAAAACGAGCAGCAGGCGGTTTTCACTGTACTATTGTAGAACTGGCTGCTAAACTGTGGCTCATTTCAAATATCATTTTGCAAAATGCAATTAAAAAGATTGCAAAAAAAATTTAATTAATTGCTTTCTGATTACAACATAGTTTAATGGTGTTGCCTTTGGGCCATAGACTAAAACAAAGACGTCACACAGACCTCCAGTTGTATTAGTAGTTATTAACCAGGAAACTGGGTACAGTTGGGTTTTTGGCTAACCCTAGTTATGGCTTTCTAGCTTGGTTAGTGTTACTAAGTCCTAACCACTTATGTCTGGTTAGCAAAGCTGGTGTGCCAGTATTATACACTTTCAAGGCCAGTCAGCATCCCCTGGCAACCCCTGGTTTGCTGGGAAAAATGTGGCAAGTGGTTGTGTCAGTTTGGTGGATACATGTTGTCATGCCAAAAAGCTCCTGTTGCTTATTACAAGGTTTGCATAGAAGAGTTTCACTTGTCTGCAAACAAGTGTGATGCAAACCAAAACGGAGACTTTTTGCCTTCAAAGTAAAACTGGTGCTTTACCTTTGCATCCAAAACATATTTCAAAAAGTCCTACTTTTACTTTGAAGGTGAACAGTCCCCAGTTAGATTGCGTTGCGCTTTTCACAGTTTCACTGTCACTTGTCTTCCATGCAAACTACAGGCCACCATGGCAATATCTTAGTGACCAGAGCAATTAGTGCAGCCTACCTATTTGCAAGCAATTTCACGTAGCATCTGCTCGTCATGGGCAGTCATTGACTTAGTCCAGGGGTGCCCAATCCCGGTCCTCGAGACCTACTATCCTGCAGCTTTTAGATGCATCCCTACTCTAACACAGCTGAATCAAATGGTTTGATCTCTTCAGCATGCCATCATGTTTGGCAAAGGCCTGGTAACAAGCCATTCATTTGATTCAGGTGTGTGGGAACAAGGATGCATCTAAAAGCTGCAGGACGGTAGCTCTCGAGGACCGGGATTGGGCACCCCTGACTTAGTCAGACCCTAGGTATGTGTGGCTAGTCTTAACTAACTATGGTTGTGTTAAAACCAAACTCAGCTAATGAAAAGACTGAACTGTGATTTTTGGGGCCAGCATGACACGACTGTTGACTGAACTGCAGTTTTTTTTCTGCTTCTGCATTGATTTTGTTTTTATGGAAGATGCTGTTTGCTTTGGACAGAACAAACTTTCTGTTTTTCCTGTACAGAAGCAGTCTAACAGGCTGTAGCTTCATACTTACTTTATTAAAATGAGTGAGTGTGCAGCACAGTTTCCTTCTAAGTTTTAAAGTGTATTCTTTGCCTCCCAGATCGTACACACATATTAATCTTTCTAACATTTTGTTAACACTGTTAACGTCACCTCCACTTTAGAGATTCAACAAACATCTTTAAAAAAGACAAAAAACTCAGTAGTACATGAATCATATCTAATCCTTCTCTTCGAGTCTCATACAGACACATTCGACGTGTTTCAGGGCAGCGTGCAGCCTCACAAAAGTCATTGCTTATTCATATGCTCACACCTCTTTGTTTACCAGTACGAGGCTGTTGGTTGGTGTGCTTCACAAGTGGTATCAAAAACAAAAAAGTAAAGAAAAGGTGAAACTTTCCTAAGTTGGTTAAGGTGCCCTTCAGCACACTGCTAAATGCCAAATGCATGTGTGGAGCTGGTGTGAGTAAGCAGCAGACTGTAGATGCAGGGTGCCGGAGGAGAGCATCAGGGGTGCTCAGTCATATTTCCCTGGTTAACGAAAGCTCGAGAAGCCTGGTTAATGCACTCGTAAACAAGTTTGCAGTTAATAATTTTGATCTTTTTAACAGTACAAACAGGACACATGAAGCCACATTGTGTGGATGTGAGGCATTATTGAAAATGCACAGAGACAGAGAGCGGGGGCTCTCAGAGGGAAAACAGACACTTGAAAATGAGGTTCTCAGCTTACAATAGGATCTCTCAAGCTGCAGAAAGCAGATAGCGGTACAGTAGGTGAGAAGAATGATTATTAAGCTGATTAAAAGGAGCGTGGTGCTGCTAATTGCTCCCGTAATGTTCTCAGCACTGTACTGCTGGATAAGACTTCTCTCCCCTGAGACACTGCAGGGATGGGCACACACAGTCAGCCTCTCTCCCCACACACACACACACACACACACACACACACACACACGCACAGCACTTGATATGCAGCATCGATGGATTCAGTGCTTCCTTGATCCTTCCCCGGAGAGCCCAGTTCATCTGTGATGAGCTGCAGAGATAAGGAGCGGATCTGTGTATCTGGGTAAAATAGAGTGGGGCATGACACCTTTAATGCCTTTTTTTTTTAATGCCCAGTCAAATCCACACATGCAATAAAGAAGGGAAGATGGTAACACTTTGTGCATATTTTGAATATCGTTGGCCTGTTCTGCATCGCTATTTGAAAGGAAAAAGTCTCACGATTCCAGTGCAGCAGCAGTCATAGTTCCTCAGGTCGTACTGTGTAGACAGCAAAATGATAGCTTCTTACCTTTTCTCTCTTCTACGGTGGCACATGATGAAATCACTCTGCTGCACAGTAGTTTCATTCTAAGAGCCAAAAATGAACATGCTTCCAGTAAAACAATACAATAAATCTTAATGGCTTAAGTTTGTGGAATATTGATGAACATGGATGTTGTGTTTTGATGCTGAAATCAGTTCACTTCCCCTGTAACAAACACAAAAATACCACATAATAGTAGAGCTAGACTATCCGTGGACAAACCCCTGCTCTCTGTTTCTTCTGTTCAGGTGTTAAATTCAAATGATCCGGAAAAGTGTTCCAGCACCTTCAGTTATTGAGTAATGAAATCTGATTGGCAGGTTAATGCATACTACTATTCAATGTGCTGAAGCCTGGCACTGCTTCCGGTGACGGCCTGGAGGTACCTGCTCAGTAATAAGAAGATAATGACATCCCATAGCCTGCTTACACCTTCCAGACGTCCCTTTTCCCTTCTCATCCCTGTGATGCGTTCATGGTGCATACGTAAAGGTGCAGTTGCAGTACTTAAGAGACAAAAGTTCCAGACCACTTCAAATACAACTTTTCATACAGCTCAAAACGTAACACCAAACATACAGACTGTTCACAAAATATATCTGAGCTAAATGTAAAGTTGCTTCTTCCCAAGGAAAGAAAAAAAAACACTTTAATTGCAGCACTAAAAGAGAGAAAGGAGAGGAAGACGGTTATGTTTAAAAGAAGCATTGCTGAATAAGGCTACGTTCACACTGCAGGTCTTAATGCTCAATTCCGA